AATGGTGTCATTTCTCCTGCTGAAACCCCCCAATGGTTTTTCCTCTCACTTGGAGTAGAACTCAAACCCCTTACCTTGGCTTATAGCACTCAGTGTAATCCGGCCTTGGCCCACCTGTCTGACCCCATCTGGCCCCTCTTTCACCCCTTTCTCATTATGTTGGAAGTCCTGTGGACCTGGCCCCATTATGTCCTTGAACCCACCACACACTGAGCCTCTTCCTGCCCAAAGCTGTGATTCCAGCTGTTCCCTTGCCCTGGGATTCTCACCTCCAGGCTTGACAGGACTGGCTCCTTGCTGCCATTCAGCCCTCGGTTTAAATGTCATCTTCTCAGAGAGGCCTCCCCGGCCACCGTGTTACTCTCCGCTTCACCCTGCTCATTGGTTGCTGGTGGGTTTTCTCCTTTGTTTACTACTCTGTTGTTTGTAAGCTCCCAAGAGTAAGGGTCTTGCCTGTCATGTTTATCACATACCCCAGTTATCTGCCAAGAAGAGGCCTAGAAGAGGTTCTGAAGAAATATTGGATGGACGGACGATTGAGTGAACCCACAGTTGAGTGTGACACCAAGGGTCTTGTCTGAGCTTCTGCCTAAAGTCTACCCAAGCAGAGTATCCCGCAGAAGTCCGCGCGGCCTTCCTTCCTGCAGCCTGGCTGTCACTTCGTCCGTGAGGCAGTGGTGCGGGCCTCCTCCAGCCCTCTCCCACCCACCTCATGTCCACCTTTGCGTTTCAGAGCATTGCCAGGGGCCAGTGTGGGACCCAGCCTGCCCTCAGCTGCCCCTTCTGACAAGAACAAGAAAAGCAGCGGCAGCATCTCCTCCACCCTGGGGCTGAAAAAGTTCTTCTTGGCCCTGACAAGTCAGGGCACAAGGCCCAAGCTGGGCAAGTCCCGCAGCTACAGTGTGGAGCAGCTGCAGGCCCCTGCGCCCAGCCCGGCTTCACACACCAGCGCCCCCAAAATGAAGAGAGCCCCGTCGTTACAATCCCTGCATCCGGTGAGTCCCAAGGGCCCAGCCGAGGGGTGTGTGAGGCCAGTGGGGGTGTAGCCACCATTGGAATGAAAGGTGGAAGGAGGAAAGAAGTGCTGAGGGTGCTGCCCAAGAAGTCCCAGGTGGAGAAAGGGAAGCTACTGGCGTTCCCACAGTCCATCCGTGAGACATGGATTCCCTGGACACAGTGGGGGTGGGCAGCACCCAAGCTTCTGTCCTTCCACCCCGCTGCCCCAGCCTGGGCTCATCCTAGACCCCCGCCCTCACTCTGCCACCTCTGCCCAGTCCTGGTGTCGACTGCCTGATCGTTTTGGAGCCTTTTCCATGGCCACAGCCACTCTCTAGCACAGATCACTTCCCACCTGGATCACCTCAACGGCCTCCTGGCGAGCATCCCTGCCCCGTCTTTCTCCATGTGGTTTTCAGAGTGGTCCTTCTGGTGTGCAAATCTGGCCTTGCCATCCCCTCGTTGAACACCTGCCGTTGGTCCCTTATCACCCCCAGGATAAAGTTCAGGTTACTCGACATTGCCACAGGGTTTCTGTGATCTGACTGCGTTCATCTCATCACTCTTCTAACACTTGACCCCATTTATCCTTGACTTTGCAGTCAAGGACACACAGTCTGACTTTGAACCTTCACCAGAAATGCTCTTCTCTACCTGCTAATGTCTGCTCATCCATCAACACTGAAGGCACTGCCTTCTCCAGGAAGCCACTTCCAGTCCCTCCTTGGGCTGAGCTGGGCACCTCTGCTCTGTCTTCCCTTCTCATCCTGTGCTTCCTTCCTTCACGGAACTTGTCACATAGTATTTTAACTTTTGTCTGTGTCCCCTCAGTGGAATGTGATTCCCTGCGGAGACACTACTTGATCTTTATATTCCAAATATTTAGTATGATGATTAGTATGGTAGACATACTCAATACACAGTGAATGAATGAGTGAGTGAGTGAGTGAGTGAGTGAATACAGGGCAGCCTGCAAAAGTCCCCCCTCCCACATGCTAGAGGATAAACCAACAGCAAACCAACAGTAGCACCTAATTCTCAGCTGTGTCTCTGGAAGTGCTGTTCTATTCCAGGTGTTTCCAGGTATTATGTCTATTCTCTGCCCTGCTCCCTCCCCTGGGCAGAACGAAGCAGGCGATTGCAGTTTGGGGCACTGGAGCCTTTCATGTTTCAGGCTGAAGCAGGGAAGAGAATGCAGGCTGAATGAAAATTCCACTGGTTGTCTTGCACCCCGTACAGAATAAATATTTGCTGGATGAATGAATGGAAGACAAAGAAACAAAAGCAAAGCCATCTCAAGCTGGGGACAAAAGCCTAGAGTGGCACTGTGCTCCAGGAATTTGCTGCTTTTCTCATGAAGTTAGATTTGTCCCCAGTGTGTCTGAGCCGTGGTGCCAGCATGTATGGCCGTCAAAGCTTCAATCTCTGTAAGCCCAAGGGAAATGACAGCCCATTAGTGTAGGAGAGGGGTTATGGGCAATGTAAGCCAAGTGGGCAAAGTTAGGAAGTAAGCTGGCCAAGAAAGAGTGGGAGCAAGTGCCGGGAGGACTGTGCAGCAGAAAGAATTGTTCAGGAACTGAAAAGAGAACGTGAAAGAAGACTCCATCTCAGCTTGGTATATTCATGACATATCTCAGGGTGAACACCTTCCTGTTAGACTGTTGTATTGACAGGTGTGTGTGGTGAGAGGGTGGATGGCTGCTTCCCTGGCTTGGTTTTCCTTTTGCCCTTCTGAGTGGGCAGTGAGCACCTTTGCCACGTGGGCTGCTCCCACGTCCTCTAGTGGCTATGGCTCTTTGACCTTTGCACCTGCATCTGGAAGGCTCCTCCGTTCTCCCCTCCCCTGTTTCCCTGGGGAACGCCTGCTTGTCTTTCTGTCCTGAGTTGACTTCTCCCAGAAGGCCCTCCGGAGCCCTGAGGCAAAGTCAGGGCCCCCTCTTAAGATTCTTGATAATACATCTTCCTGAGAGCACGGATTTCCAATGTGATAAATAATGTGTGCGGTATTTGTTTAAAAGTCGGCCTCTTCCTGCCTCCCACCCCCACCCTTGGAATAGCCTCCTCACTGGGTCAGTTTCTAGAACACAGATCTGATTAACATCACTCAGTGGTTCCTCATCAGGTCATATAAGGTCCTTCCGGGTGTGGCCCCTTGGCTCCAGCCTGTCTCCCATCACCTCTGCAGCCCAGCCACCTAGACCATGAGTATGTTCCAGAACATCCATGCTTTCTCCCATCTCTCTCTGTCTGCATCTGCTATTTCTTCTGCCTGGAACACCCCACCTCCGTCTTCACCTGGAGAGCTCATGCTTCAGGCCCTGCCCAGGCGTCAGCTCCTCCAGTGCCCTGGAGCCTCCTGAGCTGAGTCTGTCTCTGCTTCCCTGCACAGCGTTGTCCGTGCTTCTAGCCTCACACTTACAACATGCATTTAGGGCTTTTGACCTGTCCATGCTCACCTCACCCCCATCATGGTGCGAACTCCTTGAGGGGCTTTCGTCTTGTCCATCTTTTTAATGCACAGCGTTTTAAGGTGCATACTTGATAAAATTTTTAACGTCAGCAATCATAAAAGGGATACTAAAGAATCACAAACTATTTAAGATTTTAATTCTACAATTGTGTTTATTATTCTGTGATTGATTTCACCCTTTTTTCATAATCAAGGAAAAATTAGATTTACTTAATAAGTGAGATAATTAGCATTACCCTATTCAGTTTTTATTTCAGCCCCCAATTTTTTTTACTTTGAAGCTTCAAAACGCCTACATAGGCCCATCTCCTTAAGTAAGTTATGGTTATTCCTGTTAAGCACTTTGAAGTAATGACAAAAGCTTATGCCATTACTTTCTTAGCAGGCTCTCAGGTTCATGGTTGGGGTCCCCTCTCTGTCAAGCCCTTGCCAGGTGGCTTTTCTCACCTGCAATATTGGGCCTTTCCCACTAGGTGTCACCCTCTCGCCAACGTTGGAAAGCTGCCTCTTTTCAGAACCTCCATTCTCTGTTGAGTGGCAAGGTGGACCGGTCCAACCTCTACCTGGTAGGGGAGCCAGGGCATCACAATGCAGCTGACAGGTAAGAGTGGGCAAGTGGTTTGGAGCGTAAACCCAGGGCATGGACAGTGGAGCTATATGCTTAACTCCTTCCTGCCTTAGCAGCACAGCCCGAGGGGGGTCCCTTTAAAAGAGAAAGTGAGGCTGACTACCTGTGCCTCAGTTGCCTCAGGGGTCTTGGAGCCCATTCCTCGGTGCCCTTGTCCTGTGCAACTGGACAGGGGCTGGGGTTTCTGTAGAGTTGGAAGGTTTGATTCCTTCGTCCCTCTACTATCTAATGACATTTTGAAATCAGAATGTTTAGGGCGCTTCCTTAGCCCAGCTAAAGATCTTACTGAAGGTCCAGAGACATGGCCCCCAAAGAGGCCCTCGCCTTGTGACCCTGCCTAGAGAAATCCACCCTCTCTGATGAGACCTGCTAGGCTAGCTGCTCTTACCCGGGGCTCCATGGAGGAACTTCAGGGAGTCCATTAACTCCTGGAAGCTTTATGTAAAATTAAAGCTTTCAGCAGATTCTCAAGAGAGATCTCTGCACCTAAAAAGGTTAACAACCACTGCTCTTGGGGGGAGGGGCTCCTGGGTCTGCAGTGGGCTCTGCGGAGCCTCAGACGGCTGTGGGAACCCACCAGGCTCAGCCCTGGCTCGTGGCATCCGCCGTCTTTCAGCCAGGGAGGGGCTGGACCCCATTGCTGGCTCTCTTTGCCCTCACTCGCCTCCGGCCCCTCACAGGCCAGCCAAGGCGCCGCCCCGGCCCTCCCTCAGCGTGGAGGACGTGAGTGCCCCGGGCCTGGCTCGCGCTGTGGGCCGCATGGTGGAGGTGTTCCCAGATGGCACAAGCCAGCTGCAGCTACAGCGCTCCCCGGAGGGCACTTTCGGCTTCTGTGTGGCCTCTGGGAACGGACGCCGGGACTCAGGTAGGCACCCCCCTCCCTTTTCTGGCTCCACAGCCCCAGGGCCTTTGGCAAACCACTGCAGTGCCTTCTGGCTGTGGTGGTTTCCGTTTCCTGTCTTTGGCTGAACAATGAATGAGCTCTGGACTCAGAGAGCCTCTCAGAGAAAGGACTGGAATTCTCCCCTCAAGCGGGTAGAGATGGCAGGCTTGCTCCACTGTCCTTCTGTCCATCTTGAAATCAGAATCTTAATGCCATCTTTTCACTGGAGAGCCTGAGGGAGGTTGTTTGTGCTGGCTGGTTCTCTGGATCCCTTGGATGTGGCTGGTGTGTTAAACTGGTTCCCTTCCTCTAGCTGTGGAATATGTCCGGGCACGTGGACCGTGGACCGTGCCTGCCTGTCTGTGCATCCAGGCCCCTCCCTCAGGGCTGGCTCCTGCCGGGTATGTTCACATGTATCCTGGCTCCAGGCCCCTGGCTGGGCGGCCTGCTAGGTCTTGATTCAGTACTGGCAGGATCAGGGAGGGGGCTCTGAACATCCTTCTGCACTCTGGCCAATTCTCAGCCCTGCCCCATGAATCTTTCAGGGCAAAATGACTTCCCCAGGCCTTTACCCAAGGTCTGTGGGTCAGAATCCATCACAGGGCAAGGGACCTTGACATATATTTCTCAGATGAGATGAAGAAGGAAGGCAGACAGACATGCAGGAGTGGGAAGGAGAAGAGAGTGAGGAGGAAGAAAGGGAGAGACGGACACAGAAAGACACGCTTTGGCGAAGCTGCCCTGGCTGGGCTGTGCCGCGGAGGGTTTAGTCCTAGGTCAAGATTATTTAGCTGGCTGAAATCTGCCTGCTGCCAGAGTTGCAGAACACAGCGAGTTCTTGCCTATGTTCCATCAGTCCTTTTTCAACAATATACGTTGAGCACCTACTAGGTGGTTGTAGATACTGGGGATAGAGCAGTAAATGGAACAGACAAAATCTTCATCCTCAGGAGTACACATTCTCATGAGAGAGCTAGACTGTATCTACAAATATATATATATATATATACACATATGTTTATTTATTTATATTTATATATTTTATATATACATATAATGTGTTATATGTATGTCGATGGTGAAAAGTACTAAGAAACAAACACAAATAAAGCAGGATAAGGCCCAAGGGCAGTGAGTATGGGAGTACTGGTGGGGCAGCTTTTCTGAGAAGAGACCCTTGAGCAGACAGACAGTGGAGTGAAGTGAGGGTGGGTGATGTGGTGTCTGGGGAAGTGCGTTCCAGGCAGAGGGAACAGCCAGTGCGAGGCCCTGAGGGCTGGGAATGAGCTTGGCCTGTGGGAGGAACTGCAAGGAGGTCAAGCTGGACAGAGGGGTGAAGGGGAGAGACTGAGCTGAGGGCAGAAAGTTGGGGAGACAGCTGAGCCCAGAAATCGGGGAGAGACTGAGCTGAGGTCAGAAGGGGCTTTCTTGCCAGTGAGACAGGAGCCACCAGGCGCTTGGAGCAGGGACTGACGTGCTCTGATTGAACACTTTAACAGGCTCACTGGCTGCTGTGTTGAGAATAGACCCTAGTGGGCTGACGGTGGAGCCAGGGAGACCAGTTTTAGGGCTATTTCAACAGTCCAGGGAAGACATGGTGGTGGCGGCTTAGACTGGGGCGGCTGTGGATGTGGTGAGAAGTGGCCGGGGTCTTGTTGACTTGAAGGTAGTTCTGCCTGTTGGCTGATGGAGTTTACATGAGTGTGAGAGGAAGGGAGGATGAGTTTCTCCCCACTCTGGCCCTCAGGAGGGTGCCTGTCTGTCCTCACAGGGAGATGGCCATTGTGAGCATATGTTGACCATTGCAAAGTGCTCCACGGGCTGTTAGCCACTCTGCCCGTTCCTCCAGCTTCCTCTCTCCTTCGGTGAGGGAGACAGGCTCTCCCAGAGAAGCAGCATGCAGGCATAGTTGGACGACAGAGCGTGGTTTGTACTCTAGCGCCTCCGCTGGCTGTGTGACCTTGAGCAGGCTACTTACCCACTCTGAGCCTCGGGTCTCTAATTTGTAAAATGAAGCTAATGAAAACCCTACCTGCAAGAGTCATAAGGAGCATTCAGTGAGGTATATGGGAAAGTGCCTGGCCCATTTCTTCCCTTCCCTCTTCAGAAAAAGAATGTGTATTGCAGGAGTAGAACTCCAGATGGGGGCAGACATGATCTGCGTCATCTGTCAATGTGAGATCATACCCAACTGGCCATTCTACTATGCCCCCCATCCTCCCCAAAAGTCCCTTTAGGCCCCTTTGCAGGCAGTGGGACCCCCTTCCCCCATCCCCTATCATAGACTGCTGATGGGCAGGGGTCTCTAATGACCAAGAGTTTCCTGGGCTCTGGCCGGGCCCGCTCCCCAGGATGCCCCTCACCTAGTTGGTGCAGGCTCTTCCCTGTCCTGCCCAGCTGGTGCCCTGCTCCTGCCGCTGCAGTTGGCTGCTGGATGTCATGCAGAGCTCCCCTCACACATGGAACATGGCTGGTGCTGGGGCCTCCTTGCCACAGGCCATGCTCCAGCAGCCAAGGGTCACTTCTCCTGGGCCTCAGAGGGGCCGTGAGCTGGGGCTGGTTTGCATTCCTCACTAAAACATCAAGATGCTGGTGTTACTTGCTGGCTATCACATCTGATTCTGCACAGGCATGTGAGAACAGCAGGCTTCGCCTTCTGCTTCTAATTGAATACAACACAGAGATCATACATCCTTAACAAAGGCCGTTTCCAGCAGACGGTAAATGCCTATGATAGCAGTCTTTCTGCCATATTTGTGTCGTGACTTTCAGTTGTGAAACCTACCCCAGGCATGACAGCAGTGTCTGGGTCTCCAGCTGCATTCTTTTGGGTTTTCTCATCACTCCCGACTGGCACGTTCTGTGGTACAGCAGCCGTTTCTGCCGGCTCCACCCCTGCCCTCCTTACCTGCCTCTCCCCATGCCACCAACACGCAGACAGGGCAGACAAGCTGTTAAGGAACCCAGAAAGAAGAGGGAAAGGATAGGGCAAGTGCTGAGAGAAAAGCCCTGTGCAGCCAAGATGGCAGACAGACCTTGTCAGGAGGGAGCCGGCCTTGCAGGAAAGGCTCAGCTCTGCCAAGAAGCACTGAGAGGCTGTTCCGCAGGTCAGACCAGGGAGAAGGAGTAAGTCAACAGATCGGATTTGCTACAGCCAGAGCTGCAAACCTTCAGGTGCCTTAGAGGAGGTTTCAAACCCAAATTTCAGAGGGTGGGCTCTGAAAAGCTTGACTTCTATTGGGGCCAGAAGCTCCTGCGGGGCTGAGCGGACCAGAAGATGACCTTCCACTCGTCCAAGACATCTTAAAAGGCTTCCAGCTGGAGGCTGGGGGACCAGATGAGATGCTCTTTCGGGTCCCTTCTAAGCAAGCTGATTTTAGGAAGAGGAAGCAGGGAGTCAGGGGTGGGCAGCTGCTTAATGTTTCCAATCAGCCAGCCAAGTCCAGGCTGGGGAGCAGCGAGGGTGCTTAAGGCAACGCTAACCTGACCCCGTGAGTCCTGCAGGGGCTGTCGCGGCATAGGGTCCCCACCCTGCAGTCCTCCCGCGGAAGGGCCTGAGCTCTGCACACCTGCGCTCACTCAGTGCGTCCGGGTGGAGGGCACCCAGCTTTCCCTGGAAGAGCCCGTGCTCCCTTACTGTCAGGTGGAAGCAGCTGACGGAGAGTTTGAAAGGTTTTCAGCAGAAGTTGAGGCAAGAGGGGCTCCCTCAGCTGGACCGTCCTGCACTGTGTAGCGAGGGAGCCCAGCCCAGCTTGAGGCTTCCAGAACCTTCCAGAGCCTACTCCACTGAGTTCCTCGAATTGAACCCCAGGAAAGGAGAAGCAGGTTTCTCCCAGGCTCACTCTACCTTAGAGACCCAGGGAATGGTCCCAGCCAGGTAGGGCCTCTTGGGGTCACTGAGGGGAGAGAGTATGTGTGAAGAAGGGAGAAGTGAGCCACAATGACTTTAAACTTGGCGCCAGAATTTCTCTGTTTCCTGGGCTTTTGCCCAGAAGCCTCTGAATCCTAAGTAAGGAACCGTATCCGAGGAAGACTGAGGCCAGGGCTAGTCCCAGACAATCCTGTGAAGCAAACCAGGTTTGGATTTGACCTCAGCCACGTTTGCTACTCCAGTGATACCATCCACCACCTAGCTACTTGAGGGCAGCAGCTGGGTCTTATTTGTGAATCCCACCTAGCAGGGTGCCAGGCATGTAGTAGGTCTTTGTCTCGATTTTTCAACATCTTCCTCCCTATTTTACAATCAAAGCTTATCCCAGAAAAAGATAAGATTAGCTCATTCACACTGGGGTATACATGAATAATAACAGCTTAAAGCATTATTTGTATTAGGAGGATTTTAAAAGAGGAGACAGAGAAATGAAGTTATACCATGGAGGTGGGCACACTGTATCTATTTATAAAGCCAGTTGCGGTTGTGAAGTTGGAATAATGAGGGAGAGTGTGTGTGTGTGTGTGTGTGTGTGTGTGTGTGTGTGTGTGTAGTGCCCTGTATGAGCACCTGCCTCCCCTCCACCCCAAACAGCATCCACCTGAGCATTCCACAGAGCTGCATGTCTTTGATTTGGATTTCCTGTGTTAGTTCTCCTGTTTTCCTTTGCAGGGCTCTACGTGCAGGAGATGGCTGATGAGAGCACGGCCAAGCTGTACTCGGGGCTGCTGAGAGTGGGGGATGAGATCCTCGAGGTGAACGGGGCCAAGGTTGCAGGGCTGGGCTTGGCTCACATTAGGGAGCTCCTGGCCCACGCGGAGAGCTTGTCGATCCGTGTGCTGAGGCAGAGGCCTGTCCCACAGTGACGCAGAGGTGCCTTTGCCCTCACCGTCACCCCCTTGGAAACGCTGGACCACCCCAGGGGGTGGCTGGGAATGCACTACATAAAGCTGCTTTGTCTACTGAAAATGAGTATGGTGGCATGTAACCCCTTGGGCCTTGGCAGGGCTTCTGTGACTGACCACCTTAGCAGAGGGAAGGAGCCTGTTTGTGTATTTTGTTTGAGGATGTTAATTTATGCAGAACCGGGGAAAAGATATGGGTCTTCCGCCCTGACCAGGCCTGAGGTGTTGTCAACATCTTCCTGCACGTTTGTTGGCAGGGGGAGGGGAGAGATTCAGTGGGTCCTTCGGTTGGTCCCTGAGCATCGCCTTACCCCCAGGTCCCATCCCACACTGTCAAGGGCTCCCCCAGCCCCTCCCACTCCAGAGCCAAAGAAAGTACTCGGCCATATTGGCCTTGAGCCCGCCTTTTTCAGTCTCATTTCTCCCAGCTCCCATTCGACACCTTTGCTTTTTTTCCAGAAATGGACAAAGTGTCCTGGAGTAACAGCCTTACAGCCATTGACCATATATTCCAAACCCAAAATTAGCACATGTGGTCTGGTGGGAGAACATCTGGGAGATGTTATCTGGTAGTCAGAATATTAGGAAGTTCTGGGAAATCTTTGTGATATAAGTTTGAAGGAACAAAATGAAACCAAGACCAATTTCAGGGAAGTGCAGCTGTGGCCAGTGGGACCGGCCAGACCAGCCCTGCCCCCCACCACAGCCTGGCCATGAGGACCTCTGTCTTCCTTCTCCTGTGACCTTGGACACGGGCTGCAGCTGGTGCCAAGCTGTCCCCAGCCACAAGCTCTCTGCCCAGACTCCCTAAGGGCAGCTGTAGGTGGGCCACTGGCAGGGAGATGGCAGGGCACGAGCAGCGGGATGGGCTGTCCTGCCTGGGCGTGTCCACTGCCCAAAGGGTTGGGACTCTCTGGGAGTAGGCGGCTGTGTGTCAGTCTTAAATTATTAAAGAGCAACGCTGAAACTTATCCTACTCTGAATTGCTAAATTCTGGGCTGGATGCTCACTTGACCTTCACTAGCCTGGCAGGGGCCTGGGTGGAGGAGGGGGAGGGGAGGGGGAGGGAGGAAACAAGCACAGCAGTGAGCAGAGTTGGCATGCCAGAGGGGAGGGCTGGGGAGGTCCCTGGGGTTGGGGTGACGCCAGGGTTGAGGCGGAAGCCTGCAGAGACCATCCTTTGGCTGGTAGAGGAGCCTTGGGCAAGGTGCATTTCAGAGCAGGAGACAGAATGGAGCTAAGGGGCCTCGGATAGGAGCAGTGGGGATGGGGGGTGGTGCTTGGAGTGGGCAGCCCAGGGCTGCTTTACAACTGGCTGGGTGCAGGCTGTGCTGAAAACACAACAGAATCAGGTTAGAGTGAGTGTTGCTGCACCTCTCAGCAGGCAAGGTCGCTGAAGGAGACACGTGGCCTGAGAGAAAGAGGATGGGGGAAGGGGTCAGGCAATCCTGTGGCATGTGTGTGCAGTGAGTGTTCTCCCCTCCTAGGGCCTTATCAGCAGGAGCCAGTTAAAACCCCTCTTTACTGTCCCTGGAGGGTAGGGGGCAAGCATGGCTCCCAGAGCCCCCCAGCACTGCAGGACGGGGAGGCTGGGCTGGCCTGGGGGTGGGATGAAGGGGGATTGGGGAGGCTCTAGCAGGTGAGCAGGGGGACCAATGGAACAAGTGCTTGGGCCTTCAGGATGTGAAGAGGGTGCTGGGACACCTCAGAGAGCAGCCTGGGGCCCCCAAAGCATAGAAATAGTCCCACAGCAGAAACTACAGGAGTGGGGAAACCCTAGTGGCTCCCATACCCCAGCTTGTGGCCTTGTGGTCGTAAAACTTTGGGGAAATTTCATGTTGAAAAATGCTTCTGGGGCAAAAGTCACCTCTGTTTTCTCTGTCTGGTGAGGATAATGAACCGATACCCTGCCCCAGCTGAGAAGAAATGGAAGCAGGGGCGGGGTGCTAGGGCTGGGACTGGGCAGGGAAAGGTCTCTAGGGGGTACTGAGCAGCTGCATCTGTTACATCGCAGGTGGGGTGTCAGGCTCTTGACACATCTTATTTTGTCCTTAAAATAGTCCAGCCCGGGATGTCCCATTTATCGTCTTCATTTACACAGATGGAGAACCAAGTTTAGCAGCAATGGAGGCCATTCAGACCCGCACTCTGACTCAGCACCCTCTTCCTACTGCTGCTCGCTCCCCCCATGCCAGAAAAAAGTCTGGATGCAGCTCGCTCCCCCCATGCCAGAAAAGGCTGGGTGTGGGGGGAGGGAGGGAGGCACTCTGAGCTGTGTGCGAAGTAGGCCTTCCTTGCTCTAACTCCACAGAGGCAGACGGCCCTCCTTCCTGCGGTAAGATGCTGGGCCCCGACTTGTGTGGGTGGGAGGGGGCTTTGGGTTCTCCAGCCTCCTGTGTGACCTTCCCCATCTGCTCTGCCTGGGGAACTACTGACCTAGAAAGCTATGTCCAGCCCTGCGTCATCCGCGCCTCCCACAGGACCATCAGAACACTCTTACTTCGAACCTCGAGTTAACTAGGTGCCAGGCCACATGCCAGGCAGGAGCTCAGAGAGACGAGAAAGACGGCCTCTACCTTACCAGGCCAGAGGCTGGGGGAGATCAAACGTTCCCACCTGGCCTGGTGGGGCAGTGAGAGGAATCACCTGGTTAGCCCCGGGTGGAGAGCCTGAGAGGGATCAGTGGTTAGCGGAGAGGGGCGGGGCGGGGAG